GTTTCTTGTGTATATGTGGTGTCTAAAACTTATCCCAACGAGGTTCAAGTTACCAAACCATTACATTTTCTTTCATCTCTCATTTTACTTGGTGTCATTTTTTTTCTCTCTCTCTCTCTCTCTTTATTTTCATTCCCCATGAGCATTGTTTATCGAGGCAAAAAAAAAATTATGATTACAAAACAGACATCATCAGTCTTTTAGTCGAGTGCTTTTCATCGTTGGGTTAGTTTCTAAAAAAAAAAAGTGGGATCATTTTTCCCCTCCTTAAATCGAGAAAAATATTGAGACACTATTAAACGACAATATATAAATACGTCTTTTCTTGTTTTATTACAATCGGTATATAAACTTGATAGGCTTAACTTATGTTGACCCATCGAAGCTCATAATGTAATGGAGCAATACATTTAATGACCATAAAAAAAAGGGAGAGAGAGAGAGAAAGAAAAAAGAATAAAAAAAACTGCGCAAAAGTGTCTTTGAAAATTTAATCAATATCGACTGACTTTAGATTGATTGTTTTAATTAAGTTAATTGCCCACTTTTTATTTTCAATTAATCGTTTTATATTTTTAAAATTTTTATAATTTTCTATTAATTTAATCAAGTGAATAAATTTAATTTATATGTTTTTCTTTTTCTTTTTATTTATTTATATTTATATTTTTATTTATATTTTTATTTATTTAACAATAATTTTTTATTTATAATTTTATTTTTATTCTAATTTAATAATTTTTCTTCTCTCCTAGAAAAGTTATATATATATTTTTTTTTTGCAATACGCAATTCTTTTGCTTTAGGGAAAATAACTTTTTTTTCTCTCCTTTGGTTTTTTGTTAAAAACCTATTTTGCATAAAATAATCAACTAGTTACTAAAAGGGGACCCCCTTTGAATTCTCTCGATTTTTTCTCATCTAAAAAAAAATCGTTTAACTCACACTTTGCACATTTCAGCTGCAGTAAAAAATAAAAGGGATATATAGATTTCTTTATCAGATTATACTTTCCTTTGCACCAATTTACTTTAAACAAATTCGAATTTTATAATGCTTTTACGTTTTCATTTACCATTTCTTTTTAATTCAATTTTTTTTCAATTTTTCTTTTTCTTTTCTTTATTTAATTTTTATTCTCTAATTTTATTTTTTTTTTTACTTTTTTATTATTGTTTTTTCTAAAAAATATTTATATATTATTAATTATTCTCTTCTAATTATTATAAATTATATAAACAATTTCTTGGCAAAAATTATTGTGAAGGGAAAATTAATAAAAAGAAATTTTTATTTAAATATTTAACTATTATTTATTATTAAGGGGAGGGACCGCTGAAATTTTAACACATCAAAATTAAAGCTGTTTAAGGGTGGTCAATTTTTTTTCTGACAATATTAATTATTTAAATGTATAATATATCATGAAAAATTGAAAAACTATAAATTTGTTAATAATTTTTAAAATCAAATTCAAAATTCTCGAAAATTTAAAATTTAAACTTCTCTCACAATTTTAATTATTTTTGACTGCCGATTTTTTTATACGCTTGTTTCATGATTCTAAACAATCAAGCGTATGGATTTTGAAAAATTTCAATTTTTTCAAAAAATGAAAATTTTGAAAAATAAAAATATTTGTAAAATTGTTAAAAATTACCTTTTGTTGTTTTTCTCAGTAGAATAAGATTTTTGGTTGAAAAAAATGTTGAAAAAAATTATTACCCCTAAACAAGATCAATTTTGATTGCTTTCAATTTTAGTGGTAATTTTGAAAAAAATTCAACTACTTCCACAATTTTCATTATTTTTTATTGTCGAATTTTTTTTACGCTTTTTTCACGATTTTAAACAATCAATCGTATGAAATTTAAAGAAATTTAATTTTTCCAAAAAATAAATTTTCTAAAATGGCTAAAAAATTTTTTTTTTAAATTTTAATAATTTATAATAACTTTGGATCCTAAATTATGCCAGAAAAAAAATTGACACTCTTTAACAATAATAACTTCAGTAGGCTGAAATTTCACCAGTCCCTCCCCTTAAGTATTCCATTCTAATCATTATAAATTATATAAAAAATTTCTTGTCACAATAATTGTAGAAAAAGGGAAAATTAATCAAAAAAATTTTTTATTTAAATATTTCAAATTTACTATTAATTATTCTATTCTAATTATTATAAATTATATAAACAATTTCTTGGCAAAAAATTATTGAAAAGGGAAAAAATTAATAAAAAGAAATTTTTATTTAAATATTTAACTATTATTTTATTATTAATTATTTTATTCTAATCATTATAAATTATATAAAAAATTTCTTGTCTAAAAATTTTAGAAAGGGGAAAATTGGAAAAAATTCTTTTCGTAAATATTCAAATACTATTTCTATTTTATTCTAAATATTATTAATTATTTAAACAAATTAATTGTAAAAAAAATTGGAAAATTTTGTTATTTAAATATTTAACTTTTATTTATTATTAATTATTCTATTCTTATTATAAATTATTTAAACAAATTCCTTACAAAAAATTGTGGAAAAGGAAAAATTTTTTTATTCAAATATTATTTATTATTTATTACTCCTTTTGTTCTAATAATTTTAATAAAATTATTTAAACAAATTCCCTGTCAAAAAATTGTAGAAAAGAAAAAAATTGTCTTTGTTAAAAAAAGGAGACAATAAAACAGTAATAGCAAAACAATAGACAGGCAAATTTTTTTTTTCCTAATTGATTATTTTTCAATAAAAAAAAACGAAATTGTCGACAAAACAAGATTTAATTAAACGAGAAATTCAAATTATGTTTATTTCGGTTCAATTAATTGAATTCATTGTTGATCTCTGTCCAGTTTTCTCTGTGTATGTAAATGTGAGAGAAAACGGGGAAAATCATTGACGGATAGAGAATTTCCCTTTTAAATGAGAATGTCGATTTTATCAGGATTTCAACGTCGTTGACATGCTTCTCTCTCTCTCTTTCTCTCTATTTCTCTCTTTTTCTTCTTTTTCTCTCATTCTGGTGCGCTAGCCGAGAATCTCACTATTAAATAACCAAGAGACAACGACAGGGCGTCCATTCCCATAAAACTGAATTATGGCTGGTACTTCAGCATTCAAGGATCACTTTAAGTCATTAGATTTCACCAAGTTCTCGCTCTGCTTGGAGCCAACATAAAGTAAAAACAGAAAGAAAGAGAGAGAGAGAGAGAAAAAAAAAAGGAAACTTATGCTTCACGTTTATATAAACTTGCAACGTAAGCTTCATAAAATGCACTTCATGCGATTTTTTTTCAAAATATAACGTTTTTGTATTTTTAATCGAAAATAATTTTTAATAGAAGAAAATTAATTTTATTAATTTATTAATTATTTATTAATTTTATTTATTTACTACTGTTTACCTCATGGATTTCAAAAAAAGGTTTTATTGTACTTTTCGATTTGTAAAATTTTTTACTGTAAAAAATGTTTATTAGGTTCTGTTAAACTGAACTTTTTATGTACTTAATTTAGTTGTCTGACCATAAATGTCTTTTTCTACTTGAGACTTGTTTATTGACTTCAGGAGGAATAGCATTTTTTACAACTTAATTTAGGGTTTGACTATAAACGATTTTTTCTACTTATCAAAGTCAATTAGAGCTGAAGGGAATAATTTTTTAATTAACTTTATTCAGTGTCTGTTTATGAATGTCTTTTTCTACTTTAAAAATTTAATTAAACGAAACTTTTTTAATTTTTTGTGTCTTTATTTAAACAATTTTTTTTATACAAAATATTTATAAAGTAAGCTTTATTTAGAAAGTATTTTTTAGAAATATTTAACAGTCTGACTATAAACGCCTTTTTTTACTAAAAAAAACTGTTTATTGAGATTTACTGAATTGTATTTTCTACTATAATATTTTTTTACTATATTTTTCTATTAATTTTTCTACTAAAAATTGTTTAAAAAAAAACTCTATAAGAATTGATTTTTTTACTACTTATTTGTTTGTTTACGAACGTCTTTTTCTACTTAAAAAATCTAGTTAAAAAAAAGTTGTACTACGTGACAAAAAATTTAATTCCGTCTTAATTTGTTAATTTCTAATTAATATTTTTTAATTTCTACTATTTTTCTAAAACTACTTTTTTTACTATAAGCACTGGTAAACTTAATGTCTGACTATAAAAGTATTTTACTACTTAAAAAATATTTTGTCTCACTGTAAATGTTCTTTTTTTCATAGCTTTATTACTTCCATATAGAAGTAATATTGCTACTATACGCACTGTGTAAATGTAATGTCTAACTATAAACAGTTTTTACTACTTCCAAAATTATTTTATCTCACTAAATTTGTTTTCCTGCCGTCAGTTGAATTTTGTTACTAATTTATAAATTTGTATTTTGTCTGTCTATAAATGTCTTTTACTACTTAATATTTTCAAAAACCCTAAAGAAGTTTTTTAATCAGTAAATATTTTGTCTGTTCATAAATGCCGTTTCTACTAAGTAAAAAAGGCAATCAAATAAATATTTATTTCTATCAAATAAACTGTATTTAAACCAATAATTTTTGTATTTGAAACAAATAAATATTTATTTCTATCAAATAAACTGTATTCAAACCAATAATTTTTGAATTTGAAACAAATAAAATTTAATTGTTTTAATATTTAATTTAATTTAAAAAAAAAATTATTTGGTTCACGTAAATATTTATTTGTTAACAGTCAAGTAAAAGATTATTTAAATCAAATAAAGAGTACAATACATTTTTTTCATTATAATAATTGATATAAGTTTCAATTTTTTTTTAGAGCAAAAATGTGGGAATAAAATTTTTCTTTCACATCGTCAACCAAAAAAAAGGGGAGGGGGGGAGGTTGATGTAAAGAATGTCAATAGCGATTTTTCCAGACACGAGTAAATTTTTTACACACGACATTGAAATATCGCACAAAGAAAGCTTTACGTCATTTTTTATTACAATTTTGTACTCTACCTGTACTCACCGATCTCCGGTATGTTCCTGTCATGACCGGTTCCGATGACAAACTGTAACAGAAAAAAAAAAAAATATTTTTAAAATTTAATTTTTTTAAATTTCTCATACAATTTTTTCTCCTTTGTTTAAATAAAGAAAAAATCTCAATAAAAATATATAATTTTGTAGTGTACGTGATTAAAAAAAAAAAATTTGTAAAAACAATAAAATATATAATTTTCTAGTATACGTGATTAACAAAAAAATCTAAAAACAATAAAAATAATTTTTAATAATTTTTCTTTTGTTATAATTTTTTATTTATAGGTGATTGATTTTTTCTTTTACATAACCATAAATTGCTATTCTTTTGACCATAAAAAATAAAATTTTAATTTTCAAAGTTTAGAAATTTTTAATAACTAAAAAATTGAGAACTTTGTAAAAAGTTTCTTTCTTTTTTTTTCTTTTTAGTCAAGTTATATTGCTAGCAGCAATATATACTTTAGAGAAATTTTTTTGACGTTGAAAGTCCCTAAAGTTTTCAGTTATGCAGCAGCTGTATATAACTCTTAATCGTAGAAGAGATGGAAAGATGCTTGGAATAATTTAACATTCACTCGTGTTCTATAACCGTAGTTCTTTTTCACATTTTTTTTTCTTTCTTTCTCTTTTTCTCTCTCTTTTACAAACAATATTACAAGATTCAGATTTTTATTATTCATTTTTATCCTTTGATTAAACAATAAATGAATTATTGAAAGGGGTCTCTTATTTTATATTCAAAAAAATATAATCTTCATCTCCATAGTCTGATAATATTTGTATATTAAAATTTTATTTGTTCTTATATATGAAAAGAAAATTGCGAATATATTTTTTAAATATTACCGAGGGGGAAAATTTACTTCAATTAATTTTTTTAACATTATTAAATATTTTTTTTAATATTATTATTTATTTAAATATTTTTTTAAAAATACTTTTTAAAATATAGTATTATTTAATATTTTTGTAAATATTATTTAATATATATTTTTTTTTAATATAACGAACGCGAAAAGTTTATAAAAACTCTGTATTGAGTGTACAATGAAATAAATTATTATTATTATTATTATTATATTTTTTTAAAATTATTTAATATTTTTTTAAATTTTATTAAATTATAAAAAGCAACAAAAATTTCTATTTCAAAACAATTTATTGAAGTAATTACATTTCTAATTCAAATGGTTCTTTTTCTTTTTCTGCTTGGTGGGAAAAAAAATTAACTACTGAAAGATCTTTATTGTCCGAGGCAATGACTCGTGGCTGTGTAAAATGGTTTCACCCTTAAAATGGTTTAAAGTAGAGCAACAGCAGTCAGAGAAATCTCAATTTTCTTTCTGGAGAAATCTCTAAAGACTTCCCTCACTTTCAGAATAACACGGAATAACGAGGACTACTTGACGTTTTTACCTTCGAGGGGATTTTTTTTTCCTTCCAAAAAGTGATCGATAAAATAGCAGTGGGGTATTATAATAGAAAATAGAATTATAAAAAAAAATTCTATCCTTTAAAAATCTGTTTAAAATATTTTACTCCAATTTTCCCAAATATTTAAAAAACTATACACTCGAAAAATTATTTTATTGTCATTTATTTGAGACAAATAAAATTTCTTTGATGCAAATAAAAATAAAGAAAATAAAATAAAAATGTCTCTTACTATAAGATTTGAAATTCAAAAGAAAAAGAAAAAAAAAATTTTTCCCAATTTTGGAGGTTTTTCTAATTTGAGTAAACATAGAGATGAAATCGATTACAATTACATTTACTAACAGAAAACTTAGTTGAAATGTCCCAACTCTTGGAGAGTAGAATTTGCAAAATTAGATTCTAGCGTTACATCGCATTTGAAATGCACCAGTTCACCGTACTACTTGGTATTCAAACCATCGTCATGTCTTCAATTCTATGAGATTTCCCAGTTTTAAACGAAAAATTTAAAAAATAAAAAAAAATGAAGCTCCACTTCCCACGGCTTTTAAAATTTGTTTATCGTCCTAAAGATTTTTCTCCCTCAACAAAATGGAGTAAGTTTCTTACATTTTTTTTCTAATCATCCAACCAAAAAAAAAAAAAAAATATCTTAAAAATTATGAATTTATTTTAACAAATTTATTTATTATTATAAAATATTTATTACTGTCTTGCTTTTAATAATTTAATAATTTGTTTCGTTTCCATGGCAACCGTTACCGCAGCAACCGTTTCCATGACAACCGGTACCATAAAAACCGGAACCAAAGTAACTAGTATCAAAGTAACGGGTACCATAGTAACTGGTATCATAGTAACTAGTACCATAGTAACTAAATGGTACTAAAGTAACTAGTACCAAAGTAACTGGTACCAAAGTAACTAGTATCAAACTTACTGGTGCCAAAGTAACGGGTGCCATAGTAACCGGTACGATAGTAACTGGTACCATAGTAACTAGTACCATAGTAACTAGTACCATAGTAACTAAATGGTACCGTAGTAACTAAATGGTGCTAAAGTAACTCGTACCATAGTAACTGGTACCATAGTAACAGGTACCATAGTAACTAAATTGTACCAACATAACTAGTACCAAAGTTACTGGTACCATAGTAAATAAATGGTACTAAAGTAACTGGTACCAAAGTAACAGGTATCAAAGTTACTAGTACCAAAGTAACGGGTACCATAGTAACCGGTACCATAGTAACTGGTACCATTGTAACTAGTACCATAGTAACTAAATGGTACCGTAGTAACTAAATGGTGCTAAAGTAACTCGTACCATAGTAACTGGTACCATAGTAACTGGTACCATAGTAACTGGTACCATAGTAACTAAATTGTACCAACATAACTAGTACCAAAGTTACTGATACCATAGTAACTAAATGGTACTAAAGTAACTGGTACCAAAGTAACAGGTATCAAAGTTACTAGTACCAAAGTGACGGGTACCATAGTAACCGGTACCATAGTAACTGGTACCATTGTAACTAGTACCATAGTAACTAAATGGTACCGTAGTAACTAAATGGTGCTAAAGTAACTCGTACCATAGTAACTGGTACCATAGTAACTGGTACCATAGTAACTAAATTGTACCAACATAACTAGTACCAAAGTTACTGGTACCATAGTAACTAAATGGTACTAAAGTAACTGGTACCAAAGTAACAGGTATCAAAGTTACTAGTACCAAAGTAACGGGTACCATAGTAACCGGTACCATAGTAACTGGTACCATTGTAACTAGTACCATAGTAACTAAATGGTACCGTAGTAACTAAATGGTGCTAAAGTAACTCGTACCATAGTAACTGGTACCATAGTAACTGGTACCATAGTAACTGGTACCATAGTAACTAAATTGTACCAACATAACTAGTACCAAAGTTACTGGTACCATAGTAACTAAATGGTACTAAAGTAACTTTTACCAAAGTAACAGGTATCAAAGTTACTAGTACCAAAGTGACGGGTACCATAGTAACCGGTACCATAGTAACTGGTACCATTGTAACTAGTACCATAGTAACTAAATGGTACCGTAGTAACTAAATGGTGCTAAAGTAACTCGTACCATAGTAACTGGTACCATAGTAACTGGTACCATAGTAACTGGTACCATAGTAACTAAATTGTACCAACATAACTAGTACCAAAGTTACTGGTACCATAGTAACTAAATGGTACTAAAGTAACTTTTACCAAAGTAACAGGTATCAAAGTTACTAGTACCAAAGTGACGGGTACCATAGTAACCGGTACCATAGTAACTGGTACCATTGTAACTAGTACCATAGTAACTAAATGGTACCGTAGTAACTAAATGGTGCTAAAGTAACTAGTGCCAAAGTAACTGGTACCAAAGTAACTGGTACCAAAGTAACTAGTATTAAAGTTACTGGTACCAAAGTAACTAGTATCAAAGTTACTGGTACCAAAGTAACTAGTATCAAAGTTACTGGTACCAAAGTAATGGGTACCATAGTAACCGGTACGATAGTAACTGGTACCATAGTAAGTAGTACCATAATAACTAAATGGTACCGTAGTAACTAAATGGTGCTAAAGTAACTCGTACCATAGTAACTGGTACCATAGTAACTAAATTGTACCAATATAACTAGTACTAAATTTATTGGTACCATAGTAACTAAATGTTACTAAAGTAACTGGTACCAAAGTAACAGGTATCAAAGTTACTAGTACCAAAGTAACGGGTACCATAGTAACCGGTGCCATAGTAACTGGTACCATAGTAACCGAAACCATTGTAACTAAATGGTACCATAGTAACGTACCAAAGTAACTGGTACCATAGTAACTAAATGGTGCTAAAGTAATTGGTACTGTGGTAACTGGTGCCATAGTAACCCGTATCATAGCAACCGTTACTAAGGATTTTTTTTCCTTAGCGACGGTAATATTAATATTGGTCTCGAAACCCTGCGATGAATTCTCCATGCGCCTGATTCTCTCATATTTTTTTATTAATAAAAATAGAAAAAGGGAATTTTTTCATAAAAATTTTGAAAAAAAAATTGACAAGCAGTAAAATTTAACTTCTCGGATGAGATTTTCATCCAGTGATATCAGAAAAAAGTATTGCTTATATATAATGTATCTTGAAGTTTAGGGAGAAATATATATCTCCCCCTCGAGAATCAAAAGGATTCGTTTCAATATTTTTACATTCGCTGCCTTTTCCTATATATATCTTGAAAAGAAAAAGAAATGCACTTTAAAGTTTTATCGTATAGTGTAAAATGTTACTTTTTCTCGGACAATTTGAAGAGAGAAAAAAAGAATTTAAAAATATAAAAAGATATTAAAACATTGAAGAATAAGATTTTGTATTTTATTGAAAATAGAAAATATTTTCAAGTTCAAAAAAAAAACGTTTAACATTAATCAATGAACGCAATAGCCTATTCACGTATGTATACGAGGCATTGATTCAATTTCCGCCCTGTTTGCCAACTCGTTGAATTTAACTCGATTCCATTAGTTATCTATTTTTAGCCTCTGAATCACTATA